TTCAGTTTTTAATTTGAAATAATTAGTTAGTTATTTAGTTAATTAGTTAGTTAGTTATTTAATTAGTTTAGTTAAAATAAAGGTACTTACTCCTAAATAAAAGTATTAAAAATCAGGGGCTATATATTCTATAGTTTACTTTTAAGTAAGAATATAATTTTTAAAGTTTTAAAGAAGCTAGAGCTTTCCTAAAAAAATATAATAATTAAGCTTTATTTTAATAGTCTATTATATAATATATTTCGAAATAAGCTTCTAATATTATATAAAACGCTTATAAAACTACTAAATAAGAAATTTATTCAAATAAATTACTTTTTTACTATTATTTTTATTCTTTTTATATAAAAATTCAATAAAGAATTATAGTTTTATATAAATTACTAAAACCTAAATAAGCTTATAAAATAGTAAAAAAATAAAATAGCTTATAAAGCTGTTATAATATAGGACCCCCCCCCCCCCCCCCCTTAGTGCGCCCTGTGCGTGCCGATATCACGTATTCAGGGGCTTAGCTCCTGGGCATGTTTCACCCCTATATAAGCTCCCAGGAGCACCTAATTTATGCTCCTCAGAGAGCGTATTTTTTGCCCGCGTTAGTTATGAGCCCGGCCTGCGATATCCCTTGGGGATAACTTCTACTGCGCAATTGGCAAGTGTCTCTCTCCGCTACCTGAATAAGGAAGCGTACGATTAATTATCGAAGCTCACGATTCGACGAGCTTACGAAAAAGCCCTGCGCTCGAGCACAGGCCATATGGTGGGAGGCCTTCGCTGGTTCTCCTTCCACACCTCACTCTGTCGGGGATGCCTTCGCAGGCTTCCTGACACACCTCACCTCGTCAGGAGTGCCTTTGCAGGCTCCCTGGCACACTCTACAAGCAGCTCACGATCAAAGAGCTAGCTCCTCCCTCACTGCTTAATTCGACGAGCGCACGAAAGCCTTACGTACGAGCGTAAGCATACGAACCTCTCGCTCGATTCAAAGAGCACGAAAGCCCGGTACGAGCCGGCATACCTCTCTTACGACGAGCCCTCCATATATACCCTGACGACCCATGGTTAAAGCGTTAACGGATACTCGGCTCGTTAGCTTATAGGGAGCTTTTGGATCTGCATACTACGTACGGCTGGCTAGTATATAGTAGTCGACGAGATAGCAGTGCAGCTTGTGATATTAAAGTATAAGCAATATTTGTCCTCGCCAGACAAGTCCAAATTGCAACTTGGGCACGAGCTTAGCAAGGGATTTGCTAGCGTGGAATTCACGTTAAAGTAGGTCTGAACATGAGATCTCACGAGTTAGCTACCGCAAGTCAGAATTATGGGGAATATAGTTTGTGGGCATTATAAGTTGGATAAGACAAAGAGAAGGGGAAAGAGAAGAAGGGAGAGAGAGTAGTGGTGGGAGAGAGTGGTGGTGGGAATGGGAGAGCCCCTGAGAATGCCAGAGCTCTTGGCTAAGTACGAAAAACTAGCCAGAGCAAAGCAAGGAAATTAAGGGAACGGGGCTCTCCTTTTTAGATTATCTGCCAGTTGGGCAAGACTAGCTCTTCAGCTATCTCTTTTTGTATTTACTTTACTTCTGGCAGCCTACCTTCAGGCCATGGTAGCTATTGAAAGCTCCTCAAGGCCTGGGGGGTGTGTTGTAGCACAGGACCCCCCCCTTGGTGCGTGCCGATATCACGTGTTCAGGGGCTTAGCTCCTGGGCATGTTTCGCCCCTATATAAGCTCCCAGGAGCACCCAATTTATGCTCCTCAGAGAGCGCATTTTTTGCCTGTGTCAAAAGCTTAATATTATAATAATCTTTTATAAGATTTATATTAGTAAAAAAAATAGTCTTCTATATAAAATATAGACTTTATAAATAGTTAGTAATTTCTTTTAATTTAATAAATGCCTCAAATATATTTCAGAAATATATTAATTAAATTCTTAAGAATTTTCTAAATAAGTTCTATTTTACTTATATAAATAATATTATAATTTATTTATTAAAATTAAAGAAAAAGTATTATAAATATATATAAAAAATTCTCTAATAACTTTAAAAAATAGATCTATAATTAGATATTAATAAGTATAAATTTGAGATTAAATTAATAAAATATTTGAGATTTATTATAAAGGCCAGAAAAGGCATTTATATAAATCTAGTAAAAATTATAGCTATTTTAAATTAGGAAGTCACGAAATTAGTAAAATATATATAAAGTTTCCTAGAATTTACTAATTTCTATTAATACTTTATTCGAGAATTTTCAGAAAGTATTTAATTACTATTTAATCTTATATATAAAAACCGAATATTCTTATAAATAAATAAAATAGAAACTACTTTTCAAAAGCTTAAAAAGATATTTATTTTAGTTCTAATACTAATATAATTTAATTATAACCGGAAAATAATTTTCGAACTAGATTTCTCTAAATAGAATATAAATAATATTCTTATATAAATTAATAAAGAAAGTATTCTATACTTCTATATATTTTTCTTAAAAACTTTTTTTAATAAAATATAATTATAAGATCTATAATAAGGAAATACTTATAATTATTTATTATTTTTTTAAAAAAAATATAAAGCTAAAAAATATTTACTAATTCGAGATTTAAATAAATTATAAAACCCTAAAATATTTTATAATAGTATAAAAATTTACTAAATAGTAAATAAAATAGTTTCTAATTCTTTTATAATATAATTTCAAAATCTTATATATTTTTAAGGCAAAAATAAAATCTTTTTAGTAAAAAAATAAATAATTATTAATAGTCTAGAATATTATAATTATTAAAACTAGGAATCCTTAATAATTTTCCTAGAAATATAATTCTTATAATATTAATATAAATAAAAAAAAATAGTTTAAGAAATAGTTTATTTAATTTTCTAAGCTTGGCCTAGAAAATTAAAACCAAGAAAAAAATATCTAGCCAGAAAACTAGTAAAATATAGAAGCCTAACTTATAGATATAAATTAGTAAAAAAAATAAAAGAAATAGAATAATTCTTTTTTTAAAATAAAAAGTTTTTTTAAGTCGGATTTAAAAAGCTAAAAATAAGATAAAAGCTATAATAATAATAGATAAATAAAGTAATAAATAAGAAATAATATTTAAAATATATTATAGAAGTATTAGTATAAAGAGAAATATAAAAAGAACTTATAATAATTATATAAGCTTTATAAAGATCCTAAACTTTAAAAGTCAAGTCTTAAATAATTATAAGTATTATATTAAAAATAATAATAAAATAAATGCCTTAAATATAAGGGAATTATAATATTTCTTTAAAAGTTAATAAAATATTTAAATATATTAAAAAAAAACTTACTTTTAGAATATTAATCTAAGTTATATTCTTATTAGTATTCTTGAAATATAAGAAAGAATTTCGGAGCTTATTAAGCTTCTTTTATAGCTAAATAATATAGCTAATATATAACTATTACTATATTTCCTTTTACCAAATTAGTAATCTATTTAGCTATTACCAGAATTCTATATCTATTATTAATTTTAATATTCTCTCAAATATATATTTTTTAGTCTATAATTTATTAAAATATATGTCCTTTATAAACCAAAGCAATTATCTTCTAAGTAGATCAAAGTTTTATTTCATTTTATTTGCTAGTGGTTTTATAATATAAAACTTAAAAATAAGGGCCTTTTTAATGTTCTTTCAGTTAAGCAAGGTGCAATCGTAGTGGCAGCTGAAGGAATATGTGGGCGTCGTCGAATATGGCAATCCTAACCGAACTGGCCAGTCCCAAGATTTCTTACAGGAGATGGGCAGCCTCTTTTAGGCATTCTGCATGGAATCAATGTTGTTAAATCCCTCAAAGGGCCTCCCACCACCGCTGCGCTTTTTGCTCTTGCTTTTGCTTCTCCTTCTTGTTTCCTGTTGACAAGGACGCTGGTATGATTATAAACATTTATGTATTGATCCACGCTTGAGTAAATCGATCACTGCATTCAGTTTGGATATTCGACTGTGTCCGACAGCTCGCAAGACATCGGAGAGTTCGAGAAGCTGCTCGTATTTATCGAGGGCCACTTCGCGTCGCTATCACACCTCACGCAGCTAAATTCCTCGACAAATACACTTTTTACGAACCAAATTACTCTAGTGTGGCCCAATTGCAAATGGGGAAAACCGACGTTGAAACCGGCCCGGACAATGCCATTCCTCAGACACCCACTCATAACGGCGAAGCCAATGTCCGTCGTGCAGGGTCATTAAAATTGGTGATAAAACTGATGGTAGGTGGTATAAAACTGGTGGAAGGTGGTATCAAGGATTACTACTTGCCCGTGTTCTTGGGGATGTTCGGAGTTTTCGCTTTGCAAGCCGCTGAAGTAGCGAATGATCAATCGCTTGTTGCAAACCAGTTAGCTCTTCTATCGCTCTGTTCTGGAAATTCGGTAATATTATTTAATTTATTTTGTGAAAGCATCCACTACTAATATTAAGACGTAGTCAATCAATCAGTGTGAAGCTCTTCTTACACAAACCGACTTATACTTACCCGCCATTATTAACACATTATATGACATCCGTCGACCACCCTCAACAGTCATGACGGTTAGCGCACGGACCAGCAAATTTGGAGTTGCTGGTAGTAGGTCAATTGGGATTATCTATGCGGTTATGTTGATATCGGTTAGCCTACTTGTTCTCTGCAAAGCCTGGGGAGGAATCAATTCAACAGCTCAAACTGAGGAAAAGCCAAGCGACTCACTCGCACAAGGATATGCTCTAATCGAAGGGCAGGTAGCGGAGGGGGCAGCCTCAAATGCTCGTGCATGATCTACAATTTTGGGGGATAATAAAGGGGGGATTTCGTTAAAAGGAACATCATGTGAATCCCATAATTTTCGACATTGTTCTCCTAATAATATTCGATAACGGTTATAATGCTGTCCCACCTTTCACTTGATTAGGCAAGTGCTATACTAGGGAACATAATAACATTATTCTAGAGTCTAGATATACGTATATGACGGCGTACGAAAAGTATCGAAAGCAGCTTTCTCATAAATCCTAGGCCAAATCTGTCGGCCATTTGCTGTGAAAACAGGGCCTTCTCTGCACTCACCGTCGTACCACAATTGAGGAAGTCGAATAAATTTGCCTCGAGCTTTCGAATTATAGTCTGCGCCCATTATCTCTTTTTCAAGCTTATTAGAATACTCCACCATGCTCTGGGAAGTGGAACCTTCTGGCCATTCCAAATAGATGAATAGATCGTAAAGGCCACTAAGACATTCTAGAGGCTTTGTAAAGAGCTTGTAATTCCGCCTCAACGCTCTCTGATATGCTTCGTTACCACGAAATGGCATTGAATCACTCATGAAGAGATCCAAGGCAAGTTCTTTGGTATTACATTGACTGGAAAGGGAAACGAGGGAATTCTTCCAATCGACCAATAGCTGATGGCTCTCTGAGGCCAAGAGAGATTTAAATGGGGGAAATGCAACGCCTAGAGAACGTAAGAGTGGTATAGCGTGCGGCGGCAGCCTCTGAAGAAAGCTTGTGAGCGCGGGCATAGCCATATTGCAAGAACCCAAGTCGTCCAGTCGTCCACCTTGGGGAAGGATGATAAAGGGATTTCGCTGGTAGAAGATCGACATGGCAATATCGTACACTTGATGACTAACAAGGAAGATGGACAGGGGTAACCTCCAGCAGGTGCACGTAGAAGAGTAGGCACCATGATAAAATGAGCACGCACAACAATCCAGCGTTGCTGTACATTTCTTACAGCAGTCAAAAGGCACCAATCCCTTGTCAGATCGCCACTCCAAGTCATATGGTGCAACGAGCTCTGAGTGATGGAGAATGCTTGTCAAAATCTCCGGTGGGAGTTGGTACGGCCTTTGCTTGTTGTCCTGTGCCTTTTCTTGTGATTGGCCAACAAGGAGCTGAGTGGCAGTTTGTCTTGCGAGAGCGGAAAGTTCCCAGCCCGGACTCTGGCTCAGACGAATGGAGCAAGCTCTGACTTTCGGAAGGCTAGAAAGTGACTCCAAGTGGACTTTCGCTGTCAACACATCCCCAGTATCGCAAACCAAATCCAGGCGTAGCACACCTGGCCGGCAATGGGCAGCCATTCTGCCAACCACTTGTTGCCATTCTCTTAAAATGGCTGCATGCTGCCTCGCTCGCTTTTGTAGAGGTTTATCGTGGATTCCGAGGGTTCGACATAGCGGATGACATGGGAGCAGGCCTGGAAACTCTGTGCCCTCACAATCTTGCATACGGAGACTAGGTCCGTAGACACATTCGCAATTATTCAGGCGGACCGTTATAGAGCGGAGGCACGACAGGGCATTTGTGCTTAGATTTCGTAGAGGTTTCAAACCCCACAAGTCGCTTCGGCTGATGGTAAACGTGTTCTCGGAGTAGAGAATGCGCATCACCTCCTCCGAAACGGAGCGCGATACGTAGAGGAGGGAGAACGGCAACGGAGAGCACTGACAGCCAGGTATGCAATCTAGCACGTACTGTTTCCCCATAAATCTTCTCGATTTGTAGACGCAGGCAGAGTCGATAGCAATTTTGCCGCCATTACAATAGTAGTCGGCGCGGGGACCTTCTTGATTGAAGTTGATGGGGCAAAAGCGGACGAGCTCAGCAAGAAGATAGATGCGGCGACGAACTTTTCCGGGGAGGTCTAGAAATGACACGCCGGATGATGATATTCCGGGTTGTTGTGGGCGCTGCAGGTAATGGTCCAGTTTTCGTTGAGGCATGATCTATCTCGGTATGGTGCGTGAAGTCTTGAACGAGGCACAATTCTGCGCCAGCGAGTTGAGGAAGATAATACAATTCGAATTCGTCTGTTATCTGTTCTGTTGTGAGAGGAGAGGTGCCATAATATCTAATCTATTAATAGGGAATCCTGAATCTTGAATCCTTCCGGACACGACATGAACGCGTTAGTCATGTTGCAGGGACGGTCCCGGCTTACTAAGCGGGGCTATTGACGGCTTATTGAGGGAGAGCAGAGCCTCCCACGATGAGAACGATGAAGGCGAACACGGGAACGTTGTCGCTACTGGAACTTTGTTACTTGGATATTGCACATTGTTTATTTGACAGAGGCAATTGGTATTAGAGACTCTTTTGCCTCGATACACATAGTCAATAGCCCTATTAATGTCGTGTAACCCTTTAATAATTTGTTATTGTACTTGACCCTAGTAAACAGAACTTTGAGAGAACCGTGAATTCTATTGCCTATAACCCTCCCTAGTCTCTTATACTCGAAGACTTGCAATTAATACGAAATGGTAATATTTCCTTTTAATACTATAGGAAGTATTATAAAGTCCTTTAATACTATTATAATTAAGTACGAGTATTATACTCTCACTTTGCTATTTATTATTTAATAATCAAGTATATCTAGAATCAGAATTAAGTATTAAATATCTTTAATTAAAGCTACTAAAATTAAGGTAATAGCTTTCAAGTAATTAATATAAATTAACCCTTAATTATTTCAAATAATATTATAGTAATTATCTTTAAACTATAATTAACTAGTTCTCTTATAACTTGAACTAATAATTATTAAGTTTCGTAGTTATAGTCTTTAAAACTTTCCAGAAATAATTATATTTCTTAATATATATAAATTTGTATTTCTAAAACTAAAATAATAATTAAAGAATAATTAAATAAATAAAGATATAAGACTTTTAATATTTTTATAAATCTTCTTAGATAAAAGAATTAGTAAAGCAAGATTAATTTCTAAATAGTATTATCTTAACTTTATTATTAAGAAACTAGTTTTAAAATATAATTATAGCAAATATTATATTTAATAAAACTAATAGTATTATAATTAGTATATTAAATAAGTAAAGTAAAGTAGAGTAGTAAGTTCTACTTATACTTTACTTAACTAATTATAGTACTACTTATATTCTACTTATACTTTATTTAAGCTACTTATAAATAGTATAAGTAGTATAAGTAAGTACTCACGTAATAGTTATACGTAATGAGCTAGCCTAATTAGGTAAGCCTCTATCTAGTATCAAGTTTCTATTTAATTAGGTAATAGTATTACTTAGTAAGCGAACTAAAGATTAGAGGGAAATTAAGATTCTAAGAAGTATAACTAGTTTATTATTATAGAAAATTAATATTTAGCTAGTCTTATATAAGCCCTAGCTTACCTTTACTAGGGCTATTTAATAAATATCTTTATTATTTAATTATTATTAAATAAACCTTAGTTTATTATTATTATATAATAGTTACTTATAATTACTTATAAATATATACTTTATTCTATTTAAATTTTTAGGATATTATATTACTTATATTCTATTTATACTACTTATAAGTAATATAAGTAGTATAATATAGTACGGCAGGCTATACTCGTTAAAAATTATATTATTTTAGGAGTTTTGAGGTTTAGGTTATATAGTAAAGGCTATAGCCTTTTATATATAACTTGCAGAAATTATATAAGAAAGCTAGTTTTTCTATAAACTTAGAGAATAATCCTTTATAAGTATTTAATTAATTAAGCTTTTATATACTATATACTATTTATACTTTACTATCTATACTTTTGAATTATTATTTTATTATTAAGTTATATTTTGTATTCTAGTATACTTTATATGAGTTTTTATCTTATTATAGTTTCCTTCTCATATATTTTATAGTAAGTAATATAAGGAGAATAGAAACTTTATAGTTAAGGTAATACTTTTATAAAGTTCTAAGAAGTATTTATAAGGCGGATTATTAGTTTAGTAAATTAGGAGAGAAAAAGGGCTATAGTAATACCTTGAGCCTAAGACCGAAATATTAAGAATATATAAGTATTAATTTTAGTATCTTATATTAATTTCCGATATATCTAGTAACTTAAATACAGGTTAGCTATAAGATATAGTTACTAGTATAATATATAAAAGTAATAAGAATAGAGACTAATTATAGAAAGAAAAAGAGTAAAGGAAATAGAATAAGAAATATTATACTAAGATAGTATAAGTCAGATCTTAGTTAGAAATAGACTTTAGTATATAGAAATAAGATTATATTATTAATTTATATATTATTTTTAGTTATAATAAAAGTCGGAATTAAAATAGTTTTAATCTTAGTAATAAAGCTTATTTCTAAGTTTAAAAAGAATACCTAAAATAGGAAATATCCTTAATTTCAAATAAGATAGTAAATAGAAATCAGAAAGAATTAAAAGGAAATCGGAAATAAGAAATTATATAGATAAATTAAAGAAGCCTCTAGAGAAAAGAGAGATTACTAAGTAGAAATAATAAGAAGAATTCAGGGAAATTAGAGAAAATAATAGAATTAGAGAAATCGTTTTTATTATTTTTATTTTTATTATATTTATTAATAGTACTATAAAATATATTTAGTTTAGCTAAATTAAGGGAAAATACTATAGGTATTAAGTTAAAGAAATAGGAAAGAAAATATAAGAAATAGAAATAAGACTAGAAAAGCTATTATCTTATTATTACTAATATTAAAATTCAAATCTTAACTATATCTATTATTATTAACCGGTTTCTTTCTAATTCCGGTTCCTAAATTAAAAGATATACTTAAACGGGAAGTTAGTTCTTTAGGAACCTTATTAGTAAAAGTCTCAAATACGGAAACTCTATAATTAATTATAAAAGAAATTATTAAGATTAATATAGTTAAAAATAAATATATACTAGTACTAGATTTAAACCTGCTATTTATAGGAGCTCCTGAAATACTATAGTTTTAGAGAAGTAATATTTCTATATTCTTGGAATAGTATATAGATATATATAAGAACTATTATATTACTAATAATACTAAAAAAGAGAGAATTATTTATTATATCTCTTCTATTTATAAGAATTAGATTAAGGCTATATCGGAGTATTATACTAATAATCCAGGAAATTACTAGAAAACCAAGTTCTTTAAGGCCTTACTAAAAGAATTCCGAAAGTATAACTAGGAAATACTTAAAATTAGCTATAACTTTCTTAATTAGATTATTATATAAGCCTAGAATAAAGGAATCTCTTCCAAGTCTTATATTAATATATTTAATAAAATATTAAAGAAATTACTAAAAAGAAAAGAAATAGATAAAATTACTTAGTACTAAGAGTTTATAAGAGAATTATCTATTTTAGTAAGGAATTATATTTTTAAGAATATATATTTCGAGCCTATAAATATTTCTATTTATAAATATAGTAAGATATATAAGAAAGTAGTAATATCCTATTAATATAAAAAAAAGAAATACTATTTTAATATTACTAATAATCTAGATATATCTAGATTTAGATAAGAATACTTAAATATAGTAATCTATAATATAGTTCTTAAACTAGAAAATAATTATTCTTTACTAGTTTCTCCTATTATATTTCTTAAAGCTATTATAAATATAAGTAAAAAGAGAATCCAGTTTATAGCTAATTATATAAAACTTACTAAAAATAATAAATTCAAAAAAGATAATATTAACTAGCTAGTAAGAAGTCTAGAAAAACTATCTATTATTACTATAACTCAAAAGAACCTATAGAAATAATTCAATATAATTACTATTATAATTCGGGAAAATATTTATAGTCTATTTATATAGTCTAGCTAACTATAATAAATATAATAGTATTAATAATCTAATAGGTATAATTTAAGTCTTTAGAGAAAATATACTAGAAGTTATAATAGAGATTATAGAGAATACTATAATAGCTATAGTAATTAAACTAGAATAGATAAAGAATTTAGATAACTATATTCTAGAGAAAGTTAGTCTCAAATATAATTAAAAAATACTATTTAAGTTAATATAGCCTATAATATAGACCTAGAACTAAGAGAACGAATTTACTATAGGTACTATAATAGAAATAAGAATAATAATATTAATTTAAAATATATTTATATCTTTTAGTTCTATTATTTATTAATAAAAGAATTTATAAACTATAGATATACTTACTAATTTAATAGAAGATAATATAAAGAACTATTTAAGTCTAAATAAGAAAGTATTTCCTTTTTCCTTACTAGTAAGTACTAGTAATTTAACTAAATTATTTCCCAAGTCTAAAGAGGAGAATTTAACTATAACTTAAATACTTAATCCAAAAATATCTAGAAATTAATAAGAGATATCTAGTTTACTAGGCAAGAAAGAGAAAAGGAAACTAGCTAACCGGAATCTATATATAGAAATAAGTAAGTTATATCTAGAGAATCTAAATAGCCGCTTTATCTTAGAGAAAATTATATTAGAATTACTAATATTTTAGGTTCTAGAATTAATAAATAATACTAAGATTTAACTATAAATAGTATTTTTATTAATACTATAATAAGTTCCTTATTAAAAAAAAAGAGAAAAGAAATAGAAATAGCCAAAAAAGTTTTCTAAAAATAAGCTAGAATAGAAGAAAAGCTACTTTATATAAGAGACTAAAAGAATACTATTCCAAAAAGTAATAAATAAAGA